ATATATGTATAAACCTATATATACACACATATTTTCTGTCTCTAGATTTTCAACTGTTGCCTTCAAAAGGCAAAAATCTCTGCACATACTTTGACATTTTTTGCTCGATCTTGTTACGTTATGCTCTAATTGAGTAATTATTGGGCGCTATATGTACAACACACGCGCCTTCATATAGTATATCGTCTATGTATATATTCACATATATACACTATATGTACATATACGCATATGTATGTATATATAGCTACACGTTTTTGTTTTGGCACTTGAAACGTTCGATTGCGTATACGCCGCGTATTCCCTGTTAGACGTTAGACACGACACGCAAATGCTCCGCACACTTCGAAGTCAATGCAGCAACTGAAAATTCTGGTTTTCGAAAATTCTCAGCCATTACCATGCCATATATTCAAATATGTATATATACGTTATATGTGAGCATTTGAGAGCGTCTGGCAAAATATTATTTCGAAAATTAAATATATATATATATATTTTCAGTATTTCCATATCTTTTTGAGCAATTCTTGACAGCAACCGCGTCGAGCATTTCATATCTTTCGAACATGACTAAGACTATGTGTGTGTGTTTGCGTTTGGGTCTACCTGTCCTTAATTAGAGCAGCGACACGTGTATTGGCGGCGCGCATAGCGTAGCAGACAATCCCATTTGACATGGACATACTCGTAAATCAAAATCCTAACAACACTTTCTCGCTGACGCAGTATTCTTTCCTCTCAGCTAATTTCCTGTTAAATCAAATCTAATCGATATCCGATACTGAGGGACAGCTATGCATTGACTCGTCTGCAAAGCGGAAAATATAGAGGAAAAACTGTTTGTGTGTAAACTTTTACATTTTGTCTAGGCGAGTCGAAACTTATTTTCATCTATGTGAAAAAATTACTTAAGGCATGATTCATTCGTAGGGAAAATTTACTTAAAGACATATGCTAGACTAGGATACCCTAACTCGGAAGTTGAAATTTTCTTTCATAGCTCTTTAATGTGCTATAATATATAGAAGTTAGATACTATAAAGAATAGAAAGTCTTTTCTTTTTTCTAATTTATATAATTTTGAAAAGCTGAAAGGAAATTGAAAAATTAATATTGGATATTTATATATCCCATTAAAAATGTGAAATCAGGGTAAGATGGCATATAACTCAAAACTAAGGAACTCTATAATACATATAATATTATAAATATTCTTAAACTATTCTCTAATTATTATTCATATTAATTTTATTCATAAAATAAAAATAGTCTTCAACTTAAGCCGTAAGAACTGCATAAAGTCTTCACAAAATTTGCCTTTGCAATGTGGATTGAGGGTAGTCCAGCACTCTAGTGCGATGCATTTTGACATCGTGAATGCCACCCTGGACTCTGAGTAAGCTACCGCCTTGGAAGGGAATCCGATGGGCAAACTTGGTAAAGTGTCGACCATTTATGGCTATCAGGTAAAAGTCGATTGTGATGAGCACCTGAATGGTAAATCGTTCGCCTTTGCGAAATGGGGTTCGATTGGAGACAGCGTTGCGGCTCCACTCGTTATTTATTTTGCTATTCATTACGAATTGATTCTTCTTGAAGAGGGACTTGAGGTGGAAGGGAAAGTCTCTGTATGCTGCATTCGGATATATAAACGATATCTCAAATCTAGGGAAGAGATATTACTATAAAAGAGACGCTTCAGATTTATTAAACTTACACTTCACACTTCGGATCGATTTCCCCACTGAAAAGGAAACTATCTCCCTCGTTGAGTGGCTCCACTTCGATATCGTTATTGTAATTGGTGGAATGTAAATCCAACGGTATGTAAGGCTCAGGCTACAAGGGAGTAGTAGGAGATTTTATTTTAATTAAGATCAGAGAAAGAAAAAAAAAAAAAAACTCGAAGCTTAAAATCTTCATATCGAGAATGCAAATAGAATTGATAATTGTTATTTGATATGTTCAGACAAGTAATAAATCTTGCACAAGAATTAATAAATTGTCTATACCAAATATGCAAATGATTATATATTCAATACTTACCATTCCATCTATGAATTGTTTGGGATAGCTGTGAACCTCAGAACGATGTATGCGTATGTCCTCCGCATGTCCTGCCACTTCGAGATAACGAACTTTGGCGTATGACATTCGATGTACGAAGGGCTCCATGTGATGGCCATTGAAGGATATCAGATAACAACTCTGTGTGACGAGCACCTGAATGGCAAAGTACTCGCCGCGCCGAAACAGAAATGGCAATGTGGACTGCCTTTCCTCACGGACCCAAGAGCCACGTACCTGGCTGTTGCGGACAACACATTGTTGATCGAATCGAGGATTGATGTGCAGGGCTACATCGTTGTTCTCCAACACAAAGTTAATGGCAAATCTATCGATGGAGGACCTTATAATACTGAGGGAACTCTATAATACCAAAATACCTCTGGGCATCGGGTAAGGCTCTGCCCGTGATCAAGTAGCTAGAGTCGTACAGATCGTATAGCTTTCCAATTGCAGTCCTATGGTTTGCTAAATAGAGCGTAAAGAAAAGTTATTTCAAGACTAGATAGATATTTGATAGAACTTACGATCTATTCTCTCAAAGGCATCAATAAGTACGATGGCGGGCTCCCCATCCATGAGGCCATTGGGTCGAGGGCCAGGATAAGATTCAGCAGGCAAAATGTCATCATGCACCTCAGCAGGAAATATCTCATCACCTGGATGGACTTCAGCAGGGACGATCTCATCACCCGGATGCACCTCAGCAGGAACGATCTCATAGCCGGGATCAACTTCGGCGGGTGTACTTTCAATTTCCGGATATAGTTCCGCTGGATAAGATTCGGTGCCTGGATAAACCTCAGCGGGCACGATGACAGGCTCAGGCATAGGTGTAATGGGTACAACAATGGGAATGCTGTAATGAAAATTTGCAATTGGAACTAGATTAACTCCTGAATAAAAAGAAGAATAGAGATTTATGCATTTAAAAGTAGACTTTAACATATTAAAAGTTATGGGTAAAATAACGCATACTTTTAGGGATCGACAGATAGATCGTGAGCATTATCTACATTCACCTTCATTTCTTATGTACATTATTGAAATCATCTCTCACCTGTTGGGATCCGTTTTGGGCCGCAGTGGTGCGCCATCCTTGAGCTTGCAGTTGGGATATTGCGCCAGGTAAGTCATGACGGACTGCTCATCCACATTGGGATCGACCAACTCTTCGGGTTTGATCAGCTGATGCACGTCCAGCCAGGCATCAGCTAGCTCCATGGCCTCAGTGGCGTTCTGCACGGAGTTCTCGGGATGCCACAGATCCCAGTCGGGGCACAAGCCGGGAGCACAGGCATCAACCAAAGCACCTATTGGCTTGCCCGTGGTCCAGTCCCTGGTGAAGTTGGTGATGGACATGTAGGGAATCTTGAACTGTATCCAAGCAAGCAGACTGCAAAGGCAAAGCTTAGATTAGGCCTAGTATCGGAAAGAAAGATAAAGCTCACCGTTGCTTGGGCGTTAGCGTAACTTCTGCTGGCGGCTTCTCTTCATCCCCTTCCCAAACGGGCATCGAGATGGAGTAGTGCAGAATGAGGGTCCACACCAGACCCAGAATCAGCTTCAATCGACCATCGACTATGTCCGTAGAATCTACAATGGCTGCGATTAGCTCCGAGTGCCCAGCTAAACTCTCTTCTACTCACCAATATTTACAATCTTGATGCCCTCATTCATTAGGAAGGTGAGGGCGATCGAAACGTTGTCCATTTTCTGGCTACGGAATTTCGGATCTTGGCAATGCGAGGGCAATTGCTTCTGCGACAGCACCTCGACCAGCTGAATCAGCCGCAGACCATCCGACAGATCCGTTTCCAGATTGTCTATGGAACTGCCGACGGTCTTCAAGTGCTCATTGGCCCAGCGAGTGAAGGTATTTTCCTGGATTTGCTTCCACTTAGCGTGCTCGCCAAGATTATGTTCCGCTTGCATATTGTGAAACTGTTATATGTATTTTACTCAACTGTTAGATATATCTTCTCTTTTATATATATTTGTAGAATTCTTGATTAACTTTTTCAGCTCGTTTCGTAATCGTTTAGTAATTTATTTGTTTTAGATTTAATGTTTTCACCGTGACAATCGCTGATCGACTGAACTTGTTGCGCCTCATAGCACCCATGTTTCAATGCAGACAGCTAACTCTTAAATACCCTGTTATTATACTATTTTATGGGGTTTTATGTACTTGAATACGTTTATGATATTTATAATCATGTCTTAAAAAATTTAAATATTATCATATATAAAATCTTATTGCTTCGAAAGCCTTTCTTTAATAAAATAATACTACATTTGATATATAGATAGATATATATTTCATACACCGCAGGGTGTTTTCTAGCCACACCCTAGCTTATATCTCATTTCTTATCAGCTACACTTTCAATAAAAAATAACAAAATAAATAATAATAATAATCGAGCAACTCGCATAAAGATAAAAGACGTGACTAAAGCTCAAACAAAACTTTTGGCAAACAAAATTTGTCATATTTTTTATATCATTGATAACAGAGAATGGGAACTTTTATTTTTGTTTTCAAAGAAATTTCAAATTGACATTCGATAAGCGGAAAAAATTTCACTGAATCACTTATGAGCTGACGGCATTATTTTTAAATACAATTCTAGCTCTAGCAAGTGTCTGTACATTAACTCTAGAAGTCTGCAGTATAATGAATTTATTTTTAAAACATTCGAAAGTAATCTAATCAATTGAGAGATACCAAAAATTCCTTTGTTTTTATTGCATTGAGTTTTTTGGATAACAGAGGGGGAGGAGCAGTGAAAGAATGCGCCTAGATGGACCAAGCACAGCGAGAGTGATATTCCTGCTCTTAGATCTCAAAATTCTTCAAAAAGGAAACTTCCTCCCACTAGAAAAGATTGACTCAATATTGAGATCATCATACACCCGATTTTAACCCTTTATACGGCCTTGTTGCATATCTGCAACATACCGTTTAAATTGAGTTATTTCGCAATGGGTATCAAGAAAGTGGTATAGCAAATTTTTTTGTAAGTCAGAAATATGTGTTTTTTCGATTTTTGTAGCTGGTCGCACTTGTCCACATGTCTTGCCATACAAATATTAAAATTTCCCGCCAATTTAGTGAATTGTGTATATGGTGTCCAAATCAATTTTATATTTGCAAATTTTTCTAATAACAAAAATTTTTAATTTGCGAACAACTACTTTTTAAATAAGGTAACTATATTAATAATGCGTTTGTAATCAAGTTTTTGGGTTTGTTGTTGTGTATTGTGAGTAACTCTTGAATATCGGTATGTTGCAGATATGCAACAAAGTACTATTAGGACTTCTTTTTTGCACTCTCAATTTTGTTGCATTTATGCAACATACCATTTATTTGCTTATGTTTTATATGTCACTATATAATTCTTTTATTGTTTTGTGTCATTATGTGTTGCTATGAATTTATTTTGGATTGTCTTATGTGTTTTATGTTCTTCTTTGAGGCCGACCTACACATACTTATATTTTTGTAGACAGTATTTCTTACTTAGGAATAATGTCCGCAAGGGGATTGACACCTTCGAAAATCGCAAGATTTTTTAATAGTTTGGAGAGCGAGGACGAATTCGAGTTTTCTGCCAATGAAAAAAGTGATTTCGAGCCAGACAAAGAAGAATTGGATGGTACGGATGAGGACAAGCCTCATAAATGGGGATATAGAATTTATGTTCTTAGCGGTCAATCAGGCTTCTGCTATAAGTTTGAGATAGATTCAGGAAATGAAAACAAAGTTTTGCCTAACGAACCAGATCTAGGTGCGGCATCAAACTGTGTTGTTAGAATGGTCAGAGAAGTGCCCAGGCATCTGAACTTTCGAATTTATTTTGACAATTTTTTCAATTCATTGCCCATTTTGAAATACTTAGCGGATGAAGGAATTTTAGCTTTGGGTACTATTCGAAGAAAAAGAATTCAAAATAACAAAACAATTGATAATATTAATTTGAAGAAGCATCCAAGTGGTACGTCTGTAGAATATGTCGCTGATTTTGACGGAGTTGACATATCAGTAACATCATGGGTGGATAATAAAGTCGTATCATTGGCATCCAACTATGCTGGAATACTACCAGAGGACAAAGCACGTCGATTCAACAAAGCCAAAAAGGAATACGTAGATATTGACCGACCCTTTGCAGTAGCACAATACAATAGCTATATGGGAGGTGTTGATCTGATCGACAGCATTATTGGAAGATATAAAATTTTACTAAGAAGTAGACGCTGGCAGGTTCGCATTTTTTACCATCTACTCGACTTGACAGTGAGTAATGCTTGGCTTTTGTACAAACGCGTTCACGTGAATGCATCAATCACTAAACTCTTAGGATCTTCCGAGTTTCGGATAAATATTGCAGAGGTGCTAACAAAAATTGATACCAAATCAATAATAGGAAAAAGAAGTTCTATGCTCGAAAACGAATTGCAGCAAAGAAAACAAAGAGGTCCTACGCAACGCGTGCCAAATCGAATGGTACGGCAGGATGAATTTGGACATTGGCCTTTGTGGGGTGAAAAACGAATAAGGTGCAAGTACCCGAAGTGTACGGGATTCTCGCAAGTAATGGGTGGGAAATGTGAAGTGGCCTTATGTTTCAACAAGAGAAACAATTGTTTTAAAAATTTCCACTTAAATTAAAGTTTAATAAATATATTATTAAGATAAATAGTCGTATAGTCATTAAATAAATATAATAATATGTTAAATAGTTTAAGAATATCCAAATTAAATATTACGTTCTTCTAAATACCCAGAGAACTATCAGTAATTTTTTTTCCCCTTAAGCACATCTGTTGCATATCTGCAACAAATCCTTTTTCCTTTATAAAATCGTACTTAATCAAAATTTTGAAAAACGAAAAAAAAGTGTATTTTTTATTTTCAGTTTTCTATCTAATAAAACAAAACGCATCAAAATCGGACGTGGTGCCATATAAAGGGCTAATGAATAAATTTGATTGACTAAATTTTGTCTGGTTGAAGTGTGAACGTATTTCATTACTTGAAACTAATTCATGAAAGATGATCAGAAGCCTTTTGCTATTTTACATATACATAATGTATGTTCAAATTAATCAAACTTTTAAAATAACTCAATTATTCGGATTTGCTTCGAAACACATTGCTGCTGCTCAGACATTTCAATAATTATTTTTAAGGAAAAAAGTGACATTTCTTAAACAAAAACTCTGTAACTTATCCAATGAGGCTCTTACTACCTTAACTGATACCTCTGCCAAATGTTCTTCATCTTCATGCTCTTTTCATTCGTATCTTACGTAGATAAAATTTCACATTCGGTTAGGGATCCTGAAACAACATTATCTTCATTCACTTGAACTACTAACCAGATACTAACCAGATGTGTTATAGATTAGACGTGTAGTAAAATTTTTTTCAACGACAAAAAATTCACTGAGTGCATAAAAATGTATGAACATTGTTTGAAATATAACGAGATTTTTTAGGGGACTCGTGATAACTTTAAATTAATGAGAGGTTAAAAATATCCCATTTTTGAAATGACGAGAGTGGACTGTATTTTCAACAATGACTTACTCTATGTAACTCTCTTTAAATTTAATAATCTTTCGAGCATAGCAGATTAATACATACATAATATAGAACACGAATTTTCAATAACCTAAACTCTCCTAAGCTCTTAATTGATAGTCTGCTCTTGCACCCCAGCACATCTGTCATTGCCCGACATCGTGCGTCTAATCCATTCGCTATAGTAGCGCAAGTCCATGAACACGTCGGGCACACCCTGTGCACAAGGCACTAGGAAGTTGAGTATGCCAACGAGCTGATCCTTATAGACGAGCGGACCACCTGTATCGCCGTGACAGGCGCCAATATTCCGTTCCCGAAAGGCGCACACGTGGCATGCGCCCAGCTGAACGTCCTCGTAGCCATCGAGTCGCGCCTCACACTCTGTCCTCGGTATGTGTTGCTGTTGCACGCGTTGCAGCTGCGTAGGCGTGGCACCGCCCGCCGACTGCGTGCCCCAGCCCGTGAAGAGTAGCTCCGAGCTGCCCTCGGGCCAGGATTCGTTCACCAGCTGCACGGGCTGAGTGAGTGCGTCGAAGGCGATGCTCTCGTTCAGCTGGAGCAGCGCAATGTCGCTGTGATACTTGGGCCGGTCGTAGTTGCAGTGCAGGTAGATGTCCGCAGGATAGTGCACGGCGCCCGGCTCCGAATACCGTGTGCTGCCCATGACCACACGCAGTCGATCCGCCGGCCAGCCACTCACACAGTGCCCCGCCGTGAGTATCCAGCTGGCGGAGATTATGGCCCCGCCGCAGAGATGGCCGCCTGCCAGCGTCTGCAGCGAGATCTGATAGGGCGCATCGCCGGCAGCAGCATTCTGGCCGCCCACAATTGGCTCAGCGGGGCGTGGCAGCAGCAGGATAACCAGAAATAAGAGTGGGAATAGCCAAAGCTTGTATTGTGTCATAGTTGACAGCTAAGAGACGACTGATTGATCGGCACCGGCTTGTTCCATGGCGATAAGGTGGATCGACTGAACATAAGTGCATTCGATATCGACAATTAACTGATTTATGACTACATGTATCAATTAATGGTCAAGCAATAGTCTATATAATAGATGATAAAAGAGTCGACAATATTGATAAATATAGCGGACCTCGATAATATATCCACGAGGTGTATTTGAATAATATCTGGAATTTTTAGTTTTAATTTGTATGAAATTTCGATAATATAGGAACAGACCATGTATATGATAAAAAGTTCATACATAAGAACTAAAATAACTATTATAAGGATATTCAAAGTTAAAAAATATTCCAAGTTCGAGTTAAGGTTAAGAAAAAGGTTTTGTAATTTAATTACTGGTTTGGGAAAAAGTAATATTTTGCTATTAATTTATACCTTAAGCCTTTCATTTCAGAAAAATAAAAAGAGAAAGATTGATAACTTGGAATGTTTGCAATAGTCAATACAGAATATTGACTCATTCTCATTCAACAAAAAATCAATTTTCCGCTCCAGTTGAGTAACTGAAGAGTTGAGAGTCAAAGTCAGCATATCAACCTTTTATATCGAATAAGTAATTACAATATTTAATAGTTTATGCCTCGATAAAAGCTTTTATCATCCTGCAAAATTAACATGCTCCCAATAAAAATCTAGCTTTGTACCAGTTGATAAAGAACGGAAATGGGACCCATAAGAACTGAACTTGGTCAGCACGAAAAACCCAAGTACAAGTCTAAGCATATGCAATGCTCTGGCTATCGCTCGAGCAATCGTAAACGGTCGAAGGCATCCATAAAGTTGCCCTGATAAAGTGCCTGGCGAATAGACCTTCGATAAAACTCTTATAGCATTTTTACATTTCAGTCCGTCTTTGTATGTCCTACGGAAAAGATGAAAATTCTTCACATTTGCCTAATAGTTCTGCTGCTGCAGCAGCATCAGCAGCTGTCTAGAGCCAAGCGGCTGATGGATATGGATGCAACTGGCGGAGCGTCTATGGAAGAGCGCATTGTGGGTGGCCAGACGGCAGAAGTCGGGTATGCCAAGTATCAGGTCTCCCTGCAGCCGGTGCTGGGCTTCCATAATTGCGGCGGTGCCATACTCAACGAGCGGTGGATCATTACGGCGGGCCACTGCGTCGTCAACTTTCCGCCCGAGTTTATAGTTGTGGTCACGGGCACGAATCGCTATGCGGAGCCCGGCGGCGTCTACTACACGGAGGAGGTGCACGTGCACTGCATGTACGACAAGCCCTACATGCACAACGATATCGCTCTGGTGAAGGTTAGCGAGAATATAACCTTCAACGAGCTGACCCAGCCCATTCCACTGCCCGTGGGGCCGCTGCGCGAAGGCGACGAGGTTGTGCTCACCGGCTGGGGGTCGAAGGTGCCGAATGGCGAGGCCAATCCGAATCTACAAAAGGTTTCCATGAACTTTGTCAAGCTCGAGGAGTGCCTGGAAATATTCAATCAGACGGACAACATGGGCGTGGGCCACATTTGCACCTTCTCCAAGGAGGGCGAGGGTGGCTGCCACGGCGACTCGGGCGGGCCGCTCGTCTGCAATGGCTACCTGGTGGGCGTGGTCAACTGGGGCAGACCCTGCGCCAAGGGATTTCCGGATGTGCAGGCCAATGTCTACTACTACTTCGACTGGATACGCAATGTAATCAGCGGCAATGCCCGGTGCACTACATAAGCTCGGCTTGAAATAAAGATTAAATTGTTGTTGGTTTGAATGGAAATCGATTCGCTTTTGTTTTATTTCAATCAGACGCCATAATTGCTCGCATAGCAGTGGCAATCCTTGCAGGAGGATTCCACTTTTGTGCGTGCTATCCAATCGCGATAGTAATACGTCGACGCATAGCTGTCAGGATAGCCAATGGCGCAGGGATGGCCCCAGTTGACTACGCCATAGACGACGCCATCCCAGGCAACTGGGCCACCCGAATCGCCATGGCAGGCGCCCATGCCCTCGTCCGTGAGCGTGCATATGTGTCCGGGCCCGTTGCCCTCATCGCCGCCCATTATCTCCTGACAGGTGGCGTAGTCCACATACGTGAGTGTTGCCTGTTGCAGCCTGTCGCCCGCATCGCGGTAATATTCCGTGGAGCCCCAGCCCGTGAGCAGCAGCTTCGAGCCATTGGCCAGCGGTGCATCTGGCAGCAAGGCGGGCTTCGTGTACTCGTTCCACTTGATTGAATCGTTTAGCCGTATCAGCGCAATGTCGTTGTGATAGTCAGGCGAATTGTAGTTGCAGTGCACCCAATACTCCTTCACAAAGTAGCTGGCATCGGGCTGCATCCAGTGCACGGTGCCAGTCGCAACGCGCAGGTACGGCGGATTATAGCCATAGACACAATGGGCGGCAGTGAGTACGTGGTATTCACCGATGATGACGCCACCGCACATGTGATCCCCGAACATGCTCTGCAGCGAGATCTGATAGGGAGCCAGTCCCAGCTCGGCATCCGTGCCGCCTATGACACGTGAGCCCGTCTCCGGCCGGGAGAATCGCTGTAGCTTCTCGGCGCTAAGCTCTGGCACTCGCTTGCCCTCAGCTGGCATGCTCCAGCTGAGCAGGCACAGGACTATTCCGACTCTTATGAACTCTTTCCACATACTGACAGCTCAATCTGTGAACGCGTATTAAACGCGCCTCTACGGCGTGATTTTCCTTTTATACTCTGCCAAATTTTGACTAGATCATAAATCGCTCTGCATGTTGTCCACTGTCGATATCTAGCCCATAAACTGATATAGACGTGCTCTAATTACGATTTTGTTGAAGGTAATTAATATCGCAGTCGGACACTGCCTTGATGAGTCGACAATGCTGAGAACACGATATAGGTTTAGGCATGTAGACCCTCAAATACCCTAACCAGACGGGACTCACAAGTTTGCTAGCTCCTTCTTTCCGGCCTTCTGTAAAATTGAAAATATTGAAGTGGAAAATTAATTTAGCATACATTTGGGCGTGCCATTTGACGTTGTGGTAAGACGAGTCGGGTCTTTGTCAAGGAATAATTTTGACTATAATGAAGAATAGGCGATGATAGTCCTTAAAGTCTTCTAAACAATGAAACAATAGTGCATTGGAGCAGTACAAATTTGAAGGCTTAAGAGTAGACTAGAAGTATGTAATGGTGCCAATACTATTAATATACATTTAGGCACTCCTGAAACCCCTTTCTGAGAAGACTTAGAAGATGACTGAAAATATATAAATTATCGCCAACTTGATTTGTGATAGCCACACCGTATATATGGTATTTTTGTTTAGATAAAGCTTCCCAATATGAAGCTACTCTGTAAAGATATCATAATATAAAAATCTAAAAGGTTATCTGGGGTAGCCTAATTATCATTTCCATAACTAAAGAAATTTTTGGTTAGCGTTTCTGTTTAGTGCAAAGACATATTTTAAGTGAATACTACAAATTTAAAAATTGGATATAGACGCGTTTAATTAAAATAATATTACACATTTATTCAAAATAAAGAACATGAATTGTTTTAAAATTTTTTTTCATTTACATAAAATTTTTTAAGCCAAGCAATCCTCTTATGAAATAATTATACACTGCAAGAAGTGTGCAATTGAATTTTTCATATTCTCTACAATGAGCAACATTTCCTTATTGAGCTTCAGCGATCCAGTCATAGGTAAGCAACTGTATCGAGTTCACATAAAGATAAAGTGTTTACCAAGTCAGGGGCTAAATACTTCATAAAAGTAAACAAGCCGCAATATCCTAAACACACACATCAGATATTAATTAATAATATTTATGAAGCCACAAAATAAAAACAAACAGCTCGGCAGTCAGCGCCAATGATTGTTCAATGAAAAAAAACTCATAAATTCAAAAGGGAATATCCAATTTTTCCAAGAGAACTTTAAACTGGCCACGAATGCAATTAAAACATGTATTGGGCAATTACATATTATCTAATGTATATCGTATATATATATAGACCGATATAGGCAATGAGTTGTCTCAATTGACGCGCTGCTTGCAACGGGACATGGTGCGGCGTATCCAGTCAGCGTAGTAGACCGTGCTGGCGTGCATATCCGGCTTGCCCACGGCGCACGGGGCGCCCCAGTTCAGCACGCCCACCACTTTGCCCTCCCACGTGAGGGGTCCGCCGGAGTCGCCGTTGCAGGCGCCCTCGCCCTCCTTCGTAAAGGTGCACATATGGCCTATGTCGACTCCATCCGTGTAATCCCAGGCGGCACGGCAGTCGCCGTGATCGATTACAGTTAGGTTGATGGTCTGCAATCGCTCTACGGCTGGAAAATTGAGCTGCGGTGAGCCCCAGCCGGTGAGCGTAACTGTAGCACCGACTGGCGGATACTCTGTACTCAGCTCGGCAATTTGCGTGCGCTCGTTGAACACAATCGACTTATTCAAGTGGAGCAGGCCAATGTCATTCGCATATTCGGCTGGAATGTCGTATAGGCAATGCACGAAGGCCTCGTCCACATAGTGCATCTGCCCGGGCACAAGTCTGTCATTGGTGCCCACCACAATACGCAGCTCGTCGATGGGGAAATCCAGTACACAATGGCCGGCCGTAAGGATCCAGCGCTCATCGATGATCACTCCGCCGCAGATATTGGTTTTCCAGCTAGTTTGTATTGAGACCTGATAAGGCACCGCCCCCTCCTCTGCCTCCTGGCCGCCGACTATGCGATTGCCATATGCCTGTGGATATTTATGATGGATACGCTTAGCCCAGCTGACGTCAATGGAACTGCCCAGCAGCAGACAAAGGCACAGCCAAGACGCGTTCAGTGCAGCCATGGCGATCGACGATGGAAACTACGTGTGAACTGCAATTAATGACCAGCAATGAAAAACTAAAAGTATTTAGTCGAAGCTTTTATATTGGCTAGGTACACTCGGAAAAAAATAGGGCTATCAAATCATATATTTGGAATCTCTTAAATAACGAATTTTTTTTGGCTTAGTAGTAGTATGATCCCTTTCACTATCTATTTAATCCTAGTTTAATCTCATTGCTTAGAGAACAATATAAATTTAATATATTTTCGAAGACTGAAAGCTCAAATTGAAATGCTACAATTCGGGCTTTAGTCAACTCTCCGAGATAAACGAATAATTCTGATTACTATATCTATATACGACAAGAAGTATATGCAATAGGACTGTTATTCAGAAATTTCCATATATGTATGTGTCCATATCCATATCTCGTGATTCAGTTCCTTCAAGTGATTATATATATTAAATAAAATAAATATAGGATATATTGGTCAGGAATATGAATATGATCTATGTATAGACCCAGCAATAATTGCAAAGCATACACCCAATTTGAGCCCACAGTCTGTCCTATTGTTTCTCTCAGTGTAGCCCTTTATTGCACCTGGAAAGTTTTTGACACAGTGGCTATCGCGGAATGCGTGGCTAGAGCAACAAACTGGTCAAATCTTTATGAATGTAAATAAAGTCCATATCAGTTTGCATATCTTTACGATGAGCTGGATAAAACCCGCACGGTAAATGGGCTCAATTGGAGGGTCTATAAACTGGGCGGAGATACCACTGTGGGCTAAATGGACGGGGCGGGGGCCCCGGGTGCAGCACATCATGTCCGCCTGCACCAGGGCCAATTAGTGGACAAAACTTATCGTCCCGCCATTGACCATAAAGAAGTCATAACCAAGCGATAAGCCATAGCCGATGTGTAATTCCAGAGCTGATCGTGAATGAGTTTCAGTTTCAGTTCAATACTTCACATCAATGGCGTCGACTTCGCGATCAGCTTCGCCGCTCAGCGTCTATCTCTGCCTCTGTCTCTGTCTCGCTGCAGAGGGGCTGCGTCTGCGTGGACAGCAGCTGCTGCCAGGCGAGTCAGCCGAGGGGATGCAGCTGCACTCCAATCCGAAACTTATCCAGGGGCGCGTGGTGGGTGGACAGCAGGCACCGATGGGCACTTGGCCCTGGATTGTCTCGCTGCAGAATCAGTTCGGGTTCCCCTTCTGCAGTGGCGTCATTATCGATGACTATTGGATTCTGACCGCCGCCAGCTGCGTGTCTGGCCTGCGTCCACGCAACTTGGTTGCCATAGCGGGCACTGTCAGCTCCTGGAACAACACGGCGCCGGGCTACTATGTGGACCAGATACACGTCCATTGTAACTTTGATAAGCCGCTTTATCACAACGACATTGCGCTGCTGCACTTGTCGGGGGCCATCGAGTACAATGCACATGTGGCCAAGGCAACGCTCTCGGAGATCGATGAGCTGCAGGAGGGCGAGCGTTTAACCTTTGCAGGCTGGGGCACCGAATGGGCCGGTGGCACCAACTCGCAGTACTTGCTGCAGTCGCAGGGCAACTATTTGCCCGTGACCGAGTGCCGCAAGGTGCTGCAAAACGACGACGACGTGGATCTGGGTCATGTGTGCGTCAAGATGGAGGCGGGCAAGGGCGTCTGCCATGGCGACTCCGGCGGACCACTGGTCAACGCCCAGCAGCAGCTGGTGGGCATCGGCAATTGGGGCGTGCCCTGTGGCCTCGGCTATCCGGATGTCTACAGTCGCGTGGCCTTCTACAACGATTGGATACGCACCATCACAATAGGCTGCGGCAAGACTATTGCCTAGGCCATAAGTCCATTATCAGCTCTTGATTTCTAGTTGCCTCAATAAAAGTTATGGGATTTTCATGTATCGAACAACAATTGGTTTTATTCTGATTGATATTAGGCCAACTTTATGGCGGGTCATTAATATCCAAGGCATTACTTAGCTGCTTGCCATTGGGCCAACCTTTAGATCAGTCCACTTTCAACTGAGCTGCTAACATGTCTTACCATATCGGAGTATCGCTCTCCTTGCTAATGCTGCTGCTGTCCTGCTCACAAGGAGCAGATCAGCGACGCTTCTTCCCATCGAGGCCTGCGCCTGACTTCAGTTCTCGCATTGTCGGCGGCGAACAGGTGGCCTTGGGCGCTGCACCCTATCAGGTCTCCGTACAGAATATGTTCGGGTACATACGAATGCATAATAAGTTATATAACATGTAAAGCAAAGCAGATTGTGTGCATCAAGTGGATGTATTGAGAAAGTGAAGTGAATCTAGTGAATTTGAAAAATAATAAAAATAATAATAACAACAATAATACTAATAAATTAATAAATAATAACACATGAATGAAGACCAACCGAAAAATGATAAATTTATTAATAGTAATAAAATACAATAAAATATATAATGCCAATATGGTGAACAGTTTTGACCAATTGTATACTATGATTAAAGTATTGCTATAAATATAAATAATAAATAAATAATTGGATAATATAAATATAAATGATAAAAAAAAAATAATTGGATAAAATATGGGAAAACCTTTCAACTTAGACTTACAATCAAATATACAAGCTCATACACATTAACTCTGAAGCACAGCTTCGAGATAGAACTACATATCCTTGACGGCAAGCCATCATCACGCATCCTAACTAAAATTCTAGTCTAATATTTAGTTTTACTTTGTACAGTAGCAATACAAAATAATCAAAACTAACTAACTTTTTTATAACACTCATTTACCTAAATAAATATTTGGATAACAGCTATATCACTTAACTTAAAAAGATAGGAAGAAGGTTTTCTGAAGTTAACAGCATATCATTTATGTAGTTTATCCGAAACTTTGATGGGTTCTTTTTATAAGCCGAAGTCCATTCAATAGGAAATTTAGGGTATGCTACTATTTATATAAATATATTGTAACAGGCAGATAATATATTTTATGGTGCATTATTCTGGCTGTTACATTTATTACAATGCGGGGATTGAACATGTTAAATACAATGTAGCTTTAATCTGATTTTTATCGACCTTGTCCTTAACCTTATATAACCAAGTAAACCCAAGCAAAGCCCAGCCTAATTGCTCGCCCATCTCTTGCAGCAATCACATGTGTGGCGGCGTCATCATACACGATCAGTACATCCTGACCGCGGCCAGCTGCCTGGCGGGCATGCGCAAGAACAACGTAAAGGTCGTGATGAGCACCAATGAATGGGCAGGTCCAGCCTGGGAGTATTATGTGGAGGATATCATACTGCACTGCAAATTCGATCAGCCGCTGTACCATAATGATATTGCGTTGATCAAGATGCAAACGCTGGTGGCCTACGACGAGGTCACGCAGAACATAACGATCGCCGCCGTAGACGATCTGGTCGAGGGCGAGAAGCTGACAATGACGGGCTGGGGCCTCGACGAGACGACCGGCGAACTTGTCGACAATCTGAAACAACTGGAGCTGACCTATGTGCAGACAGCTCGCTGTAACTCCACCTATTTCCAAACACCCGACCTGGATATCGGACACCTGTGTGCCGTGGGCAAGGTAGGTGCCGGCGCCTGTCACGGCGACCACGGCGGTCCGCTGGTCGATTCCAAGGGTCGTCTCGTGGGCATTGGCAACTGGGGCGTGCCTTGTGGCCACGGCTACCCGGATGTCTTTGCGCGTGTCAGCTACTATCACGACTGGATTCAGAGCACGATCAAGGGCTGTGCTATCAAACTACCGTAAGTCATGTCCGTAATCTTGGCCAGACGTCTGGATGATGGTATCGCTGTAATCATTGGACTCTTGCACCCACATTAACACTTTGCTTCCTTACAATACAATCAATGAAAGAAATGTTTGAAAATTGGTTTTTTTTTTAAATCTTTTCAAATACACTGTGAGACAAATTTGGCTGGCCCTAAAGTTTGACTTTACGAGAATTAGATTTTCCCAATTCACTTAATTTTTATTGGAGAGTTTGCTTGAGATATCTTTAAATGTAATATGATACGAACTATAATATAACCCACTTTTAATCTGTTGCTGATGACATTCATATCAGATAGACAGATAATAGAAACATAACACTTGAATCAGGATAAACCGTATAGTATTGAGTACTCTAAGTAATATATAGTGGAGTCCGATATGACGCTAATCAAATAAGTTATGAATTCGTCATTAATATTGAAGGGAGGAAATTCATTTTACATTTTGAAAAGTTTCAATAGAGTGAATGAATTCCAGTTGAATATGACTAATTTTTTATGCCTCATGAGACTCTGTAAAATGAGCACAAATTCTTATAAGAGGACCATTAAGTAAATGAGTCTTATACTACTTCCAGGCAAAATTCACTAAAAGATATAATTTTCTTGAGGGATTTGAGGTTTATCGATTTAAATTGACAGAATTTGCCTCAACACCAAATTTCATAATATTTTGTTAGCTTTGGGTAATCATTTATATTAATCATTGATTTTGAATCATTTTTTTTATTTTTGGAGTAAACCCAGGACTGCATGACTTATGTGGCAATGATTTGTTAGCTGTCAAGAAATTATTGTTTTTAAATATACATATATGGAATATATTGATCTTTAAACATTTAGCTAATCATGTTGGACTACAATCTTTTGGAGCAGTGTAGAGCAGTAGCTCTACACGCCCGATTGACTTGTGTTTGAGTGGGCAATGATTTAGGAATAATTAAGACAAAGTACATATTATTATTGTTTTTTATTGTCTGCTGTGAAATGGAGAGTTCCGGAGGTGGCGTCTATCGATGACGCGCTAGACGTGTGCGCGACAGAGATTGGCTGTCGCTCAAAGTTCGCTAACGCGGCGTATGAGTAATTTGTTGTCGATTCGCTACCAGTCAACCGACTGATTGGAGGTACTTTTCCGCTTAGCGAGAATTTTGTGCTTATCAACTTGTTGGCTATGGTAATGTCACTTGCGGAACTTACTAGGAATCGAGTCTGAGTCTCTTATCTGAACGATTCGCGTATTCAAAGAAAGCTGACCGCCGATAAGGGCAACAGGTAGCCGACTATAAAAGGAAAACCAGACAGCAGAATCTTCACAATTCGAAATTGAAAGTCGCGTAACGCAAACCCAAACAGAGTGTTAAAATGAAGTTCCTCATCTTGGTCAGCGCATTGCTGATCTTTGCCCAGTGTGGATTCGCACGCCACGTGAGGTTGGCCCGCAAGCTGAGCCGTCAGCTGGATTTGGACGTGGTGCGACCCGAGTCGCGCATCGTTGGTGGCTCAGATGCACCTGAGGGCTGGGCCCCCTACCAGGTCTCCATCATGAACACCTTCGGCGAGCATGTGTGCGGTGGCAGCATCATTGGGGAGCATTGGATACTAACAGCTGCCCATTGCTTGGAATGGTCTATTCAGTATCTGAAGATCGTGACTGGCACCAATGACTACACAAAGCCCGGCGCTGAGCATCTGGTGGATGCGGCCGCGAAGCACAGCAGCCACGACAAGCCAATGTACCACAACGACATCGCACTTATACACACAGCCACGCCCATTGTCTTCAACAATCGCACACAGCCCATCCAATTGGCCAGCAAGCAGAGCTTGAAGACGGGCGATAAGGTCACCCTAAGCGGCTGGGGAAGCCCCCGCGCCTGGGGACGTTATGTAACCCAGCTGCAGAAGATCGATCTGGCCTATTTGGAGCGCGACAGGTGCAGGGCCCAGGTGCGCAATGCCAGCTGGGTGGGCGATGGACACATCTGCAGTTTCACTAAGGAGGGCGAAGGATCCTGCCATGGCGATTCGGGTGGCCCCCTCGTCGATGCGAATCAAACGCTGGTGGGCGTGGTCAACTGGGGCGAAGCCTGTGCTCTGGGCTATCCGGATGTGTATGCCTCGGTGGCCTATTACCTAGACTGGATTAAGAAGACGAAGGTCGAGCTGGAAAAATCCCTTTAGAAGAAGTAGAAGACGTCAAGGCATGTCGAACAAAGCCAACAGGCGAATAGAAGCCAAACCGAACAAAAATGTATATATGTACCTACAAATATAACCAAACCAGAAGACTATAGACCATAAGTCCAAACACTGTAAATTTTTATCACGTATATATCGCATATAAAATATTTATGAACAAATTATGAGCCTATAAAGATGTCCATTATTTCATTATCACTTTATGAACCTGTTTTTGGACAGTTGAAAAGGAACAGCCTATGGAAATTCCGAATGTGCGAATTTTTAAGTCATAAAATTGAAATTGACGACGCATGGCTGATCGTCCAATGAGTCAATTTGTTGTCTATTCTTAGCCAAGTCGGCAGCTGTTAGGCAATCATTGCCTGATAAGCCTACTAAGTAGTTATCATCCAATTTCTAATAAACAATAAAAATATATCAAAAGGTGCCAAAAAAAACAAAAAGAAATAGTTATGCAGACTTTGATTAGAATTCAATTCTTAAAAAGTAATTGCTATTACTTAATAATAATTTTGATTATGCTCAGATTAAAGAGGAATTTGGTAATTCCCCAGTAAATGTTCGTTGTAACATTAATATATTCAGAGATATTCGGATAGAGAGATCTTTCCCAAGTCAGATTCATCTAATTGAATTTTTAGCTGCAAGCACGAATTGCGAACCCAAAGGTCCTGTTGGAAAGGTTTTTTATTATTTATTTGGTACAGCAGTCAAGATGTTGACAGCCCACAATATGGGTTAAGTGCATGCTTCAACTTCAACTTCCAAGTCTCATGACAAATAGCTAATGCAGTCCATTTAGTGGTATCAATTCGAAGGGATCTACCATGAGCTGCTTCAACATGACGTAACTATCAGAAAGGAACCTTATCAACAAGAATTGATATCATCGAGCTGCGCATTAAAAATCAAAAGCCAGAATAATACTTGACAAACTAAGCTTCCTATATGATAATGCTGATTAACATGTTGATAGAGTCCCGAATCAAAAGATTATACAAGAGCTTTAATGGTATATTCCTGCACATTAAAATTAAACATTTTTTCTTAAATATTCATTACGGTGATAGACTTATAGCCCCAGCAAATAGGGAGCTGTGAAGAAGTTAGAAAATTAATAATTCAGGACAAAGGAGTTAGAAGCTGTTCGATTTCAATGAAACATTATTTAGAAGATTATTTTGAAATTCTAAAAAATTTATTGATTTGCAACTAAGAAAAGCTAAGCTGAGTTTCATAAAACTTATGTTTCACTAATACATACTAATACTACTTCGAGAAACAACTGTAGTAGAATCTGGATATAACGACTCCGCTTATAGCGTCCGTACGGCTAATGCGATGAAAATTCTGGCCCCCAGATAAACTTATATGTTCAAACTTAACCATATATGTCTTCCGGGTATAACGACAGTCCCTTGAGTGTCTTTGTAACCGGATACTACTGTTTACTACATGTTTCACAATTAAAATACACTTGGACTACTTATAAAATCTACATGACAATGACACATGAAACCTTCAGCTATTCTATTATGCCAACTTCTACTCAAAATAGCAATCCAAGCACCAAGGTTGACACCCTTTAAATTACTATCTCTAGATTATAGGAAATCCCGTTGCGAATACGCCATAAGAAACTTCGAGGGGCGGCAATCAAAGCAGAGCTGACTCTATTGGGGAATGCTTGTGAATGTCTGTCTCCGCCCTCGTGCTCGCAGCGTGAGCAGTTGTTGGCTTATCAGCGCAAAGCTGCTTAATGCGTACACCTCTGGGAAATCTAGTGCTTACGTGACGTGCATGCCAAAGCTGAACTTGAAGAAGCCATAAAAGCAACAGCCTGTTGCATGCCACACACCATTTGCAATGCTTTTCCCGCTGCTCTTAGTGAATCTCCTCGTAGCTGGTGTGCGGCTGGAGGAGCAGTTGATCTATCCACCACAGTTCACCAGGGAACGCATTGTGGGCGGCGAGGATGCGCCCGAGGGCATGGCACCCTATCAAATCTCCCTCCAGGGCGCGGCGAGCGGGCAGCACTCGTGTGGCGGCGCCATCATTGAGGAACGTTGGATTCTGACTGCGGCACACTGCATCCATGGCAAAACGCCTGAAGCCTTTCGAGTGCTTGCGGGCACCCAGGACCTGAAGAAGAATGTGTCCCGGTACTACTACGTGGACAGAATCCTCGAGCACTGCGACTACGAGCCACGCAAGTATCGCAACGACATTGCGCTGCTGCATCTGAACGAATCGATTGTCTTCGACAATTCCACACAGCCTGTGCAGCTGAGCCACGAACCGCTGATGCCAGGTGACTGGCTCCTGCTCACCGGCTGGGGCACCCTGTCGCTGGGCGGGGAGGTGCCCGCCAAACTGCAACGCCTGGAGGTGGAGTATGTGCCCTTCGAGGAGTGCCGCCTGGCGCATGGCAACAGCAGCCATGTGGACATAGGCCACGTCTGCACCTACAACGACAAGGGGCGTGGCGCCTGTCACGGCGATTCGGGTGGCCCACTGGTGCACAACGGCAAACTCGTCGCCCTGGTCAACTGGGGCATGCCCTGCGCTAGAGGCAAGCCGGATGCCAGCGCCAGCATTGCCTACTATCACGACTTCATACGCACCCATCTCAGTCTGCATGAGGCGGCGGCAGCGGCAGGAACTGAGGAGCTGGCAGCTTGGAGGAGTAAATCACATTGTCATTAATCAAGGCATAGGGAGAGATTCACCGTCTCTACAGAGATGGAGGAAATGTCGAATGAAATCTGAGCTTGGTCTAAGAATGTCTTATAATAAAGCTGACTTATCGACTGACGAAAGACCACACAAGTTTATTCTATTCTATTCTAGATAGCTAGAGCAGATATATGAATAAATCAGAAAATAAAATAATAATAATAATATTTTGAATCCTTACTTTATTTTTATCTATCACTAATCGTACGGATGCTATAAGCGGAGTCGATATAACTGAATTCTACTATATATCCTTTACGTGATCAGCCAATCCTTCTTCTGTCTCTTAGATACCAATCCTTATACCGAAACATCTCGTTTTTCAATGGTTTCAAGGTAATAACAACTTTAAAACTTGCCTTGATTAAAATTAATTAGATATTGTTTCATAAATTTAGGATTTATAAAATTCAGTAAATTAAATTTTTTTTTTTTTTTTTTCAATAAAAAATTTTTAATACGGATTGGTTACAGGATGTACTTAAACAACTATAAATTCGCTTATAAACTTAGACAACAATAAAATGCGAGAGTTCAACGGGGATGTGGACGAACTAACTAAGATTCGCAATGGGTGAGCAATGAAGATACTTTAGAACTGATTCGAGGGCAGATAGTGATTGTTGATTGGCCCGTTGCCAATGAGGTTGCCATTGAGGTTGCCATTGATGCTGCCACTCAGGTTGGCGCTGCCACTGATATCGTTGGACTGCTGTTGCTGTTGTTGCTGTTGCTGCTGCTGCTCCTCCTCCTCCTCTTCGGGTGCGTCCAGAGAGCCAACGACGGAGGTGATTGGCGCCAAGCCCTCGTCGGTGATGGTGGAGCTGCCGCCCAGAGCATCGTATTGAGTCTGGATCTGGCGCTGAGCATTGAGCGCCTCCTCCGGAGTGCGGTACTTGATGAAGAACACCTCTGGCTTGTTGATGTGCTGTGGCGCCTCGGCAATGGCGTCCTGCAGATCGGCGGCCGTTGTCTTCTTGGCCAGCACATAGACCACAGTTTTCTCCTGCTTTAGGCTCTTGGCCAGATTCAGGGCAGCCGCGCGATTCGTCTGGGCGGGCGTCTTCACGAACAGCACGTTGTAGTGGTTGCGTGGCTGCTGGTTCAGCTGCTGGAGCTCATCCTGAATCTCGTCGTCAGACTCCTCGGGCGCGGTGTGAATGAAGAAGTTCTTGGTGACGATTGGTTTCTTGGGAATGCGAACGCGTGGACGCGAACGACGCGTCTGCTGCAGCGGCGCCGTCTGGAAGTTCACTGGGAAGTTGGAGGGCATGGGGAAGGGAGCGGGCAGACGCTGAGGCTGCGAGTGATACTGCTGGCCCACAGGTGGCAGATACGGCAGTGGCACGGCTAGAGGCGGCAGCACTGGGTGCGATGAGTGCGACTGCTGCGACTGTTGCTGCTGCAACTGCTGGTTGAGCAAGTGAGCCACAACAGTTGGCTGTTGCTGTTGCTGCTGCTGCTGCTGCTGCTGTTGCTGTTGCTGTTGCTGGCGGTAGTTGTAGCCCTGCTGCGTGAGGCTGATGTCGGCACGGGCCAAGGCGAAAGCGGCCACAAGAATGGTCTAAAGAGGAGAGAAGAAGTTTGGTTTAAGCACTGATAATCCATGAGATATATACATATGATATATATATATATATATATATATATATATATATATATATGTATATATATTTTGAATGTCCAGTTAAATCCATTGAAAACGCACCACAAATATCTTCATGCTGCTGCTTGGGACTTAGTTAGTTGCACACGCTGTGGCTCTGGCTGCTCTCTAGCTGGCTGTGGGTCAAGTGGCTGTGATGATGGGTCAAGCGCTGACAACGCCTTTTATACGCGGCCAAGCAGCGCGCCAACAAGTTTATAATCGGAAACAAATAATGAAACAGCAGCAACGGCAGTCACAATCAAAAAAAAAAGAAAGAAAACAAAAAAATTGTTGCAACAGTCAACAACATTTCATATGCAAACAGCAAACAAAGAGAGATAGCATGTGTGTGCGTGTGTGTGTGAGTGAGCGAGACGGAGATAGGAGGGCGTTTGGGTGGCAAGTGGCAGCTGGCAGTTGGGCCTTTTTGTTATGCCTCAAAACAGTCCATTGTGTTGGACCAACAAATCAAGTGGAGCTCGCTCTGACAATGGACGAAATAAAGTTGTTTGTTGACTTCACCCTTTTACCTTACCCTAGTTTGACATGACATCATATGAATGGAGCTGCAGCGGCTACGCATCTTCAATATCAATATATCAATTCAATATATCAAATGTGATAGGGCTGCACTTAAAACAGGAGTAATAGTGGTAAAAATTTAGAGATAAGATCCAACATGAACCAGTTAACAGCAGCTGAGTTGGGCTTAATTTAGCTTACAAATTAAATTGATTACTATTGCGTTAACACAAATATTATTTAATTAAATTAATATTACTTGAATTTCTATAATTTTTATTTACAAACTTGTCAAACATAAGTCTTAACATGATTTCTTTTCAGTTTTAATTTTTAGCTTACATTTTATGTTCTTTCTAAGGCGTTCCTTTAGTGAACGAATTATACATATTTAATTTATGCAATGATCGTCTTGCCTTTCTTTCTTCTATCTGAATGAATTTCATTGCTACTGTCGATATAAACTAGAGAAATTCAGATATTCATGCCTATTCATTAAATGGCCTCTCCATTGACAAGCAACAAAAGATATATTTTCTCATAAATTTATGTATTCTCAGACTATGCATAAGTAAGTAATTAAGTTAATTGTCACCTATTATTGTGAATGGCTATAGCCTTTGTCTAAAAGAACACTACAGAAAACCACTTGGCAAGCATTCATAACAGATAAATATTATATAGATGCCTAGTCCCATTAGAGATAATTAAAAAAAAATATACATAAATTCACAAAATAATTTTAAATAAACATTTTGAGAATATATTCACATTAAATATGTTTTAGGTTTCTATGTTTTTCTTTTTTTTTTTTTTTTTTTTTTTTTTTTTTTTTTAACAGAATCAATTTACTATCAATTGAAACCAATTAATTGAAACCATTAAAAAATTTCTTGTCCTTGATTTTTTTATTGTCTGGAAGAAAAATTAATTTAATATATCAATAAGGTTTTAGTAAAGTTTATTAAGCACAAATCTAGCATAAACATATTCTAAACATATTTATAGAATCAGTTTTATTCATGGTCTAAATGATCAAATATTCCGTTCACATTCCGATGAAATATAAATATTCAAGACTTTAATTTTTTAGCTCTCGTTATATTTAAAGATTTAAATATAAGTATATATATACATATATTTACATTCGTACATACATACATACGCGCCTTTAGATACATATTTATGTCATTTTTATTTATTGTTTTTTTTTTTTACAATCCATTGTTTTATATTTAGAGCGTGTCCAAAACTTTACCTAACAAAAGAACACTCTATAGAGCAAATATTTTGCCAAAAATTTTTATTAATTTTATTTAATTATGGCGAAGATAAAATAATAAATCTAAATAGTCAAAGGGAAACAAAAGGTGTTAAACAAATCATAAATGCTAAGGAAAATAATAAACTTTGCTATGTGTTGGAATTATTTGTATTGAAGTTGAATGACTTAGGCATTTGTCATGCAAATATTCCGATAGATAGCGACGAGGCTACAATCGCTTGGTTACAATCGATCTATCCGATCGAGCCGACTGTACCAGCTGGAAGCGTAAGAGGCCAAAATGCCAATGCGTGAATGTGAATGCAAATGCAAATGGAATGGGTATGGGGTTTTGGGTTTTGGGCTTTGGGAGACGGCGAAGCCTCCTTATTTTGCGTGCTGTAAAGATAACGTCAAGGTCTAGTTTTTTGTTGTGTGCAGCTATATCGAAACACATATTAAATTTGTCAATTTTAAATGCGCCAAATTGATACAAATGCCCGCATACATATCGTAAATATATATAGCTATACATATATAATCCAAATTCATCTATTAAGCAGTTGCGATACACAAAAGTGAAGGTAAATCACTTTGTCAAATCGAAAGCTCTCGTTTTCAGTTCGGTCTCCGTTTAGTCCCCGTTTTATTCAGTTTAGTTTAGGCTAAACGGAAATGAGTTGTCATAACGGGCATTATCTAATTAAGCTGGACAGTTATGGTAAATAAATGTGCAGCCCACTAATTTATATGTAATCCAATTATGATAAGGTAAGTCATATTCGGCCCACCCTGCACTCTTAGCCAATGTTGCGCCCTAGTACTAAGCCAAGCATTAAATGGGTCAACTTATGCAAGTGTCTAATGCAGTTTCAGCCCCAGCTAGCACCAGATCCACAGATCTACTAACTGTGTCCAACCGGAGCTAAGCAAACAGGTTTCACACTTTCTCACGCCATCTGCCCCAGAGGCATGATCCAAAGCGAAGTAGCGAATTGGAAGGGGAAATCGTTTGCTTCACATTTAATAAATATGCAAAAATTAGTAAAAGCGCTTTAGTAAACCAGTATCCGGCTAGAAGATAGGTATCTTGCTGATTTTACAGCAATTTATAGAAATTTTAAGCTCTTTTATTAGAATTTGTAAGCAATAAAATATAAAATATCTTATATTTATTTATAAAGGTTATATACCAAATGGGAAATATCTAGTCGTATGGATTATATAAGAATTTCTTTAATAATCATTTATATATATAGAAAATTCTTATAGAAACTTATTCTAATCTCAACTCTTCCACCTGCTTATTAAATCCATATTTATACTTGAACTTAGAGGAATCTTTCCAAATATATACCCTATATGCCCTCTATTCATATATATATATATATATATATATATATATATATATATATATATATATATATATATATATATTTAAAAACTATCTCCAATCGACTTCCGTTCGTAATGTGAAACCGAAGGTATTTGCTTTTATTTGGAGCTAACCGCATTTCGCAAATCTTAAATCAAGAGCTGAGTTTATCTGAAAAAAATAAATTTAGACCAAAATATAACACATCGTGTTGATAAAATATATATAAAAAGTGAATGCAGCAGGCGCGGCATAAATTTTCATTTTCGTAACAAGCTATGCTTCTTCTTTTCTATACTTTTTTTGTTTAATTTATTAATTTATTGTGTAGCTAACGCTTCACACGGTCAGATTTTGACATTGGCCTTTGTTTGCTGTGGTAATACGACGTGGCTGGGGATTATACGCATACGCATACGTCGTAGCCGTAGGCATAGGCATGCGTCCAACTAGAGTCTGATTAGGTGCTCGAATGACTAATGCACATTTGATTATTGGCCTCAAAACGATTCCAGATTAATTATACTCTTTACGCTGCATTGACAAATCACAAAATGCCTAAAACGCCAGCCAAAACGCCGTCTCTAAACATTTATGCCCCAAAACATTTATGCTAAGTCTCAAAAACGAATCGAGTCGCGTCGCATCGCGTCGAGGCAGCAAGAAATTAATGAATGAATTCAAATTGATTTCATAGACATCGCGTCAGTCACGAAATTTATATATATAAATATATATGGAATTATCTAGAGATTGATTCATTCGCATTTTATATCAATTAAGTGGCTAAGCCTTCAGGCAAATCTTTATGCCTCACTAAAGGCAGAGAGATCTCTATTTAAATAAGGCTAGTTTCTATTTGCCAGTTATTAATGGATGTTGCCAAAAGGCGGAACATAACATATATTATCAGAAGAAACTTTTTTTATAATGTTTGTTAAAGCCATACGGGGTACTCAGAAGAAACTATGATAAATTACAAGAGTATGAAAATAGGATTACAGACTTTAATTATAACCTCGTACTGAATATGGAATACGCAAGTATATAATAAAAATTTTAAGTCTGTAGTTTATGTGGCTTACAAGATCAGGCAGACAGACAGATTATATCGTCTCAAAATCTATATATTTTGTAAAGTCTGCAATGTAATGATGTCTAATGATTCAATATATTGATGCTTCAATTCAAATACCACCACGTACTCTTGTTCACGTAGAATTCTTTTGCTGGTATATATACGTAAACAAAAAGTGCTGCATAATTTTAGGTAGCTAAATTAAGTGGCGCCATCTATATGTCAAGTAGTTGCTTGACCACTGAGTTTACAGCAAATTGAATCTAAATGAAGTTTAAATATAAGCAAAAATATCAACAGTTTTTAGCATGTATATGTTTGCACTAGGTAAGGCTTAGAGTAATCGAACTGAATAAAGAAAATAATAATAATAATGATAATAATAATAATAATAATAATAATAATAATAATAATAATAATAATAATAATAATAGTAATATATAGATATATATATTTCTATATGCATGTAAAATAGGTCTCCAAGCAAATTTTATAATTTATAAATAATTGAAATTTTATTTACATACATATATGTTCCCTCACATACATATATACATATGTATGTAGGTAACTTCTCTTTAAGCCTATCAATTATAGAAATCTTATTTAACTGGACAAATAGCCTAATATTGGGTTCCATAAACTTGACCACGTTAATTGGTAAATAAAAATCAACAACAACAATTAATCAGCACTTTGAAAAGAATCAGACTTCATTGCAGCCATATACTTATTCTAGTTTGGTACCCTATATAGAGTAACCGATACTAACTGTCCATTACTGATATCACTGGATCTGATTGGTCAGTTGACTGTGCTCAAATGCTTATCTGTATTATAAGTATTTAGTCACACACTAAGTCAGGTGAATTTCTTTTATCGCGTGCCTATGGACATCATTAAAGCCATAAAGTTGACCAACTCGTGCCGCATTCAGAGAATCACAATGAGCAATGAATATAAACCCGATGATAATATACATACTATGTGCTCACTTACTATAATTAGATGTTAGACCCACAGGTATTTATATGGCAATTATTAAAGCGAAATTGCAACAAATAATGTTGTTAATTTCGCACTTTTGAACTTTGAGCAAAGCCGAACGCTTTCAAGTTACGCGTTGACCACAGAACCCAGAGAAGAACGCAGACTGGAGTGCTTATAAAACATTTATTTATATTTAGAGATAGATATAGTTATAGGTAGTTTAAATTTAAGGCACATGCTTTG